CAATGCCTGATCATTCGTACGCTGGAATTGGTCAGATACGAACGTTTCATGAAACACACGTGTGTCCTGTCGTAAGATGAATCCTGCGCTCAGATATGCCCCTTTTCCATGCAAGATTGATAAATGTGGGCCACTATGTTTTTGGGTTGTCCGTCCGTCCTTCCATCCAATTCTTGTGAATGAGAATGCCATATGTATTTCTTTAAATTTCGCACAAATGCCCACTTGGACTCAAGGATGAACTGATAAGATTTTGGTGGTCATAGGTCAACGGTCAAGGTCACTGTGAACTTGTCTCTCATTCTTATGAACGCAATATTTCAAGTACATTTTCAAATTTTGCACAAATGTTCATGGATGCAACAAACTTAATTAATTAATGCATTTTACTTTTTAAAATAAAAAGGCTGCAGACCATTTGTTATTAAATAGTATGTAGTTATATACTGTTTCTGTTGAAATATTACAGTATGCAATCACTGGACTCTACACTGACATAAATATCCTACAGAAGATTAGTGTGTGCATCCGCAGAGGGATACAATCTGACCGGTTTTAAAGCATGGGTATGGAAGCATTTTGGCTGGAAGGTTGAAGGTAAAGGGGACCTAGACAAGAGCTAGATGGTATGCAAATAAATTAATTTGTTAATTTAATTATGAATTGCTGCAAATACAGTATGCTATGTTTTAAAAGCAGCAAATAGTCACACAGTGAGAAAAATAAATCATGTATAGAAATCAAAAAATTTGATGCATTGTGAAGCATCGATAATCATTTATCAAGTTATTGCCCTCTGAATCATAATCATAATCAAATCAAATCATGAGGTGCCTGGAAATTCCCACACCTATTGCAAATATTACAGCTCTTCTCTCCTTTATTTATGAATCATAAAGTGACCTTCATTAAGAACAGTTAGCATCACTAACAGTTCTATTTCATATTGCAATTCAGAAAATCTTGACTGGTCTTGGTGCTTTGCTCAGTGCAGGATTGTTGGGGGAGCAGGGGGGCTGTGCAGCTAACTTACTGGTAAATAGCACTCTCGCACAGCAGGCTACAGTGTCATATGAACAGTAGTTGGATCACCACAGAGACTTGAACTGCATTTTGCAACAAACCTGGGGGCTGAATATAAAGGTTGATCTTTTGCCCAACAGCCTGTCTATTTTTTGTCTCCATAATGATATGTTATTGTAGATGCGCTCAAAGAAAGACTTTATCTATTTGTCCTCCATCTTTAATTGTTGCGCTACCATCAGCCTTCAGCCAGTGGCTATGCTCACAAATTATTGTTTCTGTCACAGCCCAGGACCTTTGCAACAGACCCCGCAGTAAAAGAGGACATATCCTCAAAAGCTACTTTTTCCCAATAATATGGATAGTGCCTAAAAATAATAGCTTAATAATTGAAATCAAGATGCCCAGTCCTACAGAGGCCTCCATATCTGATTAGCTGCTGTTGACCTGCCTGCAGAGTTTATGTTAACATATTTGTCATCCACTTTGTTCACGCACAACTGCAGCACTACAAGCTGAACTGTATACTGCCATTTAAGCATGAAAGGTGAATTGATCCAGTTGTAATTCCCTCTCTCCTTCCCTCCTATCTTTTTTGTTTCCTTTACTCCTTATCCCTTATTTTCTTTCCTTTTCCCCACCTCCCCTTTTGCTTTATCTCTTACCGGTCCTTCTTACCATCGTTCCTTTATTCTGTCATCCTCTGTCATCCATTACACATCACCCTCCAAAGCAAACACACACACACCCCTCCAGCATTTTATGTACTGTCCTTGCCAACTGTGTGAGGAGGATGAGTGCAGAGATACCCAGAGGCATTCTGCACTGAGCTTCTTTGTCTTTGTGTCGTACCATAAATTAACTTGTGTGTCTAATTCACTAGTGGTCCATTTGATTGGATAGCACGTGCAGAGATGGTGGGTGGAGGCCAGCGTCAGCCTATCCCAGAGCAGCATACCCCTCAGGCTGTCAGCGAGTAGCATTGCCATAGTGATGTCATCCTCAAGCTGTGAGCCCGCCTCCGTTGGACAAAGCATACTGATTACTGGAAGAGAGGAGAGAGAGGAGTGATGATGAATCTGATGATGAGGATACAAGCCCTGGGCAAACTGATAGCAGATTTTCATTCCGCCTCACCAATCAGCTTCCAAACACATTCTGCCAGGAATTGCTCTGACATGACTTCACCTCATCTGGCTGGCTGTTGTTTTCTATTGAAATCACTGATTTGTTGATCAGACCGGTACCATGCAAAGACATTTTGCAGGGCAGGTGCTTGAGCACCACCTGGAGTCTAACTTAGCAGGTGCCTGGATCAGACTGAGATGATAATGATAATAATAATAATAATAATAATAATAATAATAATAATGATGATGATGATGATGATGATGATAATGATAAAACAATTATAATACTACTACTAATAATAATCAGCAACCTGAAAAGCAGGGTCAGGTTCGGCCCACTTGACATGCTGCTGTATTGTGCTATTGCCTATTCAAGTGCTGGAATTTGTTATTTACGTGACAATGCCTGAATGGCACACAGGCTGAGCACACGCTGCTGTGCGAGCGCCGTGTTTGACTGTGCATAACAGCAGTCTTTTGATGGTCATTTACACACTGTCCATGACAATAACTATGCCAGGTAAAAAACTGTGTCAGGCTTGGGTCCGGTTCGGACTTGAAAATCATAAAGTCTGTCGGATTCGGGCTGGGCTCGGTTATAATTGTCTCAGACATGGATTGGGGTCGGGTTCGGTCAGGAAAATAAAGCCCAAGCCGCGCTCTAAAGAAAGCAGTTGGGTAACAAACAAACGTCATTTCTAGCAGACAGGGTAGCTTTTATTAGTGTTAGTCAGTCAAGTCTGAAGTCCTCAAATTTGCAACTGGAATCGGTCTCAAGTCAAGTAATCTGAGTTAAACTGGAGGGAATGATGAGTCTATTTTATGAAGTCAGTTTTGCTTATTTAAATTCTTTTTTTTTTTTCATTTTTTCTCTATTCCCACAATTTTGAAATTCTACTGAAACAACCCTTCCCAGCACTGTGGGAATAAATTAGAAATTGTGACTATCACAATTGATAATCTCAGAAATTTCCTTTTTCACATGTGGCCTTGATAAAAAGTTATATAGTAGCACAGTTTTAATGAATTATCCGTATAATTAACAATAATAATAATCATCATCATCATCATCATCATCAATCATCATCATAGTAATAATGGTAATAAAAGTAATAAGAATTAATTATCTTTGTCCTTATATTAGGATTGATTTTGCTGACACATTTGTTTTGTCGATGTTTAGGAGCTAGGCCTTTAGGTTTGACTAGAAATTTGAGGTTGAACCTAAAAATTTAATTTGTATAACTAATAACTCTAATTAATAATATTTTTTTGTGTGATAAACCATATCAGTGATTTGGCCAGCCATGTGGTAAAGCTTTTACCATTACAGATTCATACACACAGACATGAATATGCTGCTCTGATGGTGTCATGATGTTTTTTTATAAACGGGCTCCTACTGCATGTCTAAGCAGAGGGGCTCATCTGGTAATCTCTGGTGACTTGTTTCTGCCATTGCTTTGTCATCATTGCCCAGATGGCACTCATGTCAAATGGTCCAGTGGGAACACACTGTGTGTGTGCATGCCCTTAGGGCTATTCATGAGGTATGTGGTTAGGGTTACAGAGGTTAAGGGGAGCTAATTTCATGGCTTTTTATTTGTGCTGGTCTCAGGAGAGGAGCTCTCTATAAGCATTATCACTTCCAGCTGGTTCTAATGGGACAGACGGGATGGGACGGACACAGGCACACACACACAAACAGATACCATTCAGGGCCCTACATCAAAATAGTCTCTCATTTGATTATCTACCTCTTTTTTTTTAAATGCTCATTTACATAGCTTTTATACATATATGTATATTGTACTGTGATGGTATTGTAGTTGTATTTTTCTTTGCAATAATTCTGTCATATGTAACATGGACATTTATAGTCTCTTTCAAATGTCTTGTCTCTCCTCCTTTTGAATTTATAGCTTTTCCCTATCCTATATGTTAATGCTCAAGTATAAAAAGATATTTTAGACAATAAAACTCTTTCCAACTTTGTCAAGAGTTTGCATTTGTCCCTTTCCTGACTTTTAGTGCTGAAACACAAGTTACATGAAATCACTAAAGGGTTCACTTCCCGATTTTGTCATTGTGGACAATAATGTCCCCACACTGGATTTGGAAAGACTACAAAACAATACGAGCTGTTTGATCATAATTTATGACTGCAACAGTTCAGATCTTTGTTATATTAGAATAAGGAAAAATAAAAGAGTTTCAGTCAGAGAAACCAGCGTGACTTTTTGGAGAGTATGAACCCCAAACTTTCCAGGCTCACAAAGTGGAACTACAGAGACCCATCCTTGACATTCTCTCTTCAGTTTTTCACTCTTCTGTTTCACTGTTGTTCAGCAGTTGTCTACCATTCAGATTGTTGATGGTTAAGTCCCTACAGCCCCTATCATCTACGTGTCAAAGTGTGAATGTTTATCTGATGAGCAGATGACACCTTGTATGGTATCCTCTGCCACTATTGTATGAACTCATGTTGTAAAGCACCTTGAGTGGTGGCAAAGACTACAGAAGGGCTATTTTAATGCAGTTCATTGACCATTGCTGATTTTCTTCTTGAGAGGGTTATCTAAGTGGGCAGATTGAATGAAACTTTCTGAGTGCATTCAGAGTCTCAGAGGATAAACCCTTGCAGAGACACTGTTTGGTTCCATCCTAAGGTCAAAATGTCAAAATTACATACCAGATATCTCATGTCAGAATGCCGTGACATTTACTTTGTGCACTAATGCTTAAAAGAGAAAAAAAAGAGTTTTGATTTCAATGACCCTTACACCATTTCCCAGCAGTCCTTGAAACTTTCTATCTTGTTTCTAATTTTTCTTTTCTGTTCCATAGGTGCATCTAAGGTCAGCAGAGCGTCTTCGAGACTTGTGCTGTGCCAACAGGGGTACTTTCATCAAGGTAGGCCAGCACCTTGGTGCTCTGGACTACCTGCTGCCTGAGGAGTACACATCTACATTGAAGGTACTCCACAGCCGAGCTCCTCAGAGCAGCATGGAGGAGATTCAGCAGGTCATCAGAGAAGACCTCGGCAAGGAGGTAATTTAGAATGGAATGGGTTTGTAACAGAATGGTAATAGTTGTGATTCTGTTATTATTCAAGTGAGCACAAAACAGTTTGTAGGTAATCTTTACCCCTAAATAATATCAGTGATAATCTGTCTCAATCAGAGGTCTTCAACAGGGGGTCCGCGACCCTTGAGGGGTCATGACATTTTTGGTTGATTAGAATTTTTTTTTTACAGTTTTGGTTTCATGTAGCAGCATTCTGCAGCCTCTCTCCTGCTCTCTGCATGTCAGGGCTGACCTTCTCCTCACAGCGAACTTACTTAATTATGGCAGTCCATCAACTTCGATGATGACATTGCTCCAGAAATTAAGTTCTGGTTATTGGGGTGCTTTCCGCCTATGTATAGCCATGTGGCTGTGCAGGCTGATGCGAGATCTGCAGATTTTGCTGCAAAACAGGCAGGGATATCCAGCTCCAGCAGGGGGAGGCCCTGCAGCACGTTGGTGCCTCTGTGCATGCTGCTGAATCCTCCTCTCTGTGTCTTGCTCCCGAAGATGAGCTATTCCCTGTTGGCAGGTGGCACGCCAGGTGTTGCGGGCAGCCGCAAGGGGCTCAAGTGTGGGTGGACTGATGTTGCACTTCTTCAGGAGAATTTTGAGGTGATCCTTGAAGCGCTTCTTCTGGCCCCTAGCAGACCTGTGGCCTTCTAAAAGCTGGCCATAAAAGATCTCTCTGGGAAGGCGATGGGCAGGCATACGGATCATATGCCCAACCCAGTGGAGATGTTTGCGCGCAAGGAATACTGCAATGCTGGGTGTGTGGGTCCGTTCATCAATGTCCACATATGGCACCCTGTCTTCCCAGGAGACACCCAGGATCCTCTGCAGGCAGTGGATATGGAAGGCCTCTAGAGTTAGCACAGGGTGCTACCAACAAAGCACACAGACAGACAGACAGACAGACAGACAGACACGCACACACACACACACACACACACACACACACACATACACACACACAAACAGAGCTGGCCCAAGGCATAAGCAAACTAAGCACCTGCTTAGGGCCCCGTGACCACTAGGGGGGCCCCCAAGAGCAATTCACTTAAAAAGAGAAAAAAAGAAAAAAGTAATTAATTTTTTTTCCATGTGTTAGTGATGATGATTCATATATTATCAAATGAACGCTCTTGTACAAAAAGACAGTATTATGATAACAGAGTGTAGCTGAAGTCATCCGTAGGACCCTATTATAATCGCACTGTTTATTAGGGCCCGAGCGACGACGAAGTCGTCCGCATAGGACCCTATTGTAATCGCGCTGTTTATTAGGGCCCGAGCGATGAAGAAGTCATCCATGAGGACCCTATTGTAATCGCACTGTTTATTAGGGCCTGAGCGACAATGAAGTCGTCCGTGAGGACCCTATTGTATTTGCGCTGTTTATTAGGGCCCGAGCGACGATGAACTCGTCCGCGTAGGACCCTATTGAAATCGTGCTGTTTAGTATTATTTATTATTCTTGCGACATTTCGTGCCCCAATTTCGCCCCTTTCCCAAATTTCACAATGCTTCTAACTTTCCACATTTGTCCGGCCACATCCGAAATTCAATATTTTTGGCTGGTTGCACATGGTCGACGCGAAATGCCGAAATAGCGCCCCGTACAAATTTTCAAAAACACCTCCCCATTGGGGTTAGTTTGTCGTAGGCAAACAAAATTTAGTACACACATGTATCATACCAAGACGCACAAAAAAGTCTCTTGACATCATGGTAAAATCCCAACAGGAAGTCAGCCATTTTGTTTTGAATTTTTTCATTACAGCGATTTCCACAACATAAATTTGAGCAAACTCCTCCTAGGGATTTTGTCCGATCGACTTCAAATTGGTTACAGACCATCCTGAGAACATGCTGATCAAAAGTTATTAAAAGCTTTTCTCTATGTCAAGGGGCGTGGCCGCTAGGGCATGACAAATTTTGGCGACTTTTCATTTTCTTGCCATCGAATTTCAAACTGATCTCCCGCCCACATACTTGACCTCAGCAGCTTCAAAGTTGCTGGACATGATGATGCCTCCCCCCTGAACACCCTGATATGTTAATGTCCCACCTTACTCATAGCGCCCCCAGTGGTAACAGGAAGTGACCAGTTTTTACTTTAACATGTACTAATGCCACAAACTTGACTGCATCAACTTCATTCCACTTCTAATGGATGCAGAACAATGTGCTGAAGCTACCTTATGAACGCTGTGAAGCTACGTCTAATGGTGTCCATGTGGCGGCGTGGCGACTATCTCGCTACTAAATACGTTTGGCATTTTGATGGCTTCGTGGACCTCATCTCCTCATGAAAATTGATACACAGTTCGAGAATGACCAGCTCTTACATCTGATAGGGGTGTCGCCCATGGGGGGGACATAATGCCTCTATAGCGCCCCCTTGAAATTTTCAAAAACCCCTCCCCATAGGGTTTTTTTTGGAGTAGGAAGATGACAATAGGTACACATGTGTATGTTGTCCAGACGCACATAAAAGTCTCTGGCACCAATGGTCTACTCCAAACAGGAAGTCGGCCATTTTGATTTTGACTTGTCATTTTGGCATGATTTCCACATGTTGTATTTTAACGAACTAGTCCTAGGGATTTCATCCAATCGACTTCAAATTTTTTACAGATCATCCAGAGACCATGCTGATCAAAAGTTATTAAAAGCTTTTGTCTATGTCAAAGGGCGTGGCCACTATGGAGATGCCATTTTTGATAAATAAACAAGCATATTCAAGCAGCTCTCTCTCCCACATAATTCATCCAAACTGCTTCAGAATTTCTGTACATGATAAAAGCCCCACCCTCAATGCCTCCATATGCTCGTAGGCAATCTTGCTCATGGCGCCCTCTTGTGGAAACAGGAAATGCAATATTTTACACTGACAAACACCAACCTCAAGCTAACTACATTTTGTGGCCACACGATGATCAAGTTGATGAATCTCCACAGTGACACACGTGTCCTGTCATGTTGCAGGCTGCCGCGGCGGTGGTGGCGACTTTTCATCCTTCGCCACGGAACATCAACTTGGTATAAATCCTTCATGCATTGTACGATTTGCTCGAAATTTCACATGTGTGATGAGGGTCCACCCCTGAACACACCTTGCCACATCTGGTTACGCTCGTAGCGCCACCTGGTGGATGAATGAAACATTGCGTTTTTTCACTCCTGCCAGGTTGTTTCTCCCTTTTCGCTTCACGCCACAGCCCCCACGTGCCTCAGGCCCCCACGGTTGCATGGGGGAGCGAGGGCCCGATCACAGCTTCTTGCAGCTTTAATTATTATTATTATTCCGACATTTCGTGTCCCAATTTCGCCCCTTTCCCAAATTTCAAAATGCTTCTAACTTTCCACATTCGTCTGGCCGCATCCGAAATTCGATATTTTTGGGCGGTTGCACATGGTCGACGAGAAATGCCGAAATAGCGCCCCCTACAAATTTTCAAAAACCCCTTCCCATTGATAGATAGATAGATAGATAGATAGATAGATAGATAGATAGATAGATATACTGTATTTAATCCCCAGGGGGGAAATTTAAAATGTCCTCAGCAGCAGGGGCAATAATGACAAAAAAAGACACAGATCACAAGAACACAGGACACATACTGACACAAGAAAAATCCTAGAAGTACATAAGATCACAAGGTGTGAATAAAGGGTATAAAAAGGTGTATAAAAAAACAGTACAATAAATAGGAAGAATGGTTCAAAGTGCATATGAGTTTGATCGGAGGGAGGAGTTGTACAGTTGTATTGCTGTGGGTATGAATGATTTTTTGTAGCGCTCTTTTGAACAGCGGGGGAGTCTGTATCTGGTGCTGAATGTGCTCTTGAGTGTGTCCAGTGTTTTATGGAGAGGATGGGTGGTGTTGTATATGATCCTATTGAATTTGGCCTGGATTCTGTCCTCCACCACCTCCTCAAGAGTGCTCAGCTTCAGGCCAACAATAGACTGGGCCTTCTTAACCAGCTTGTTGAGTCTATTGGCATCCTTTTTCTTAACACCTGCCCCCCAGCACACCACGGCAAAGAAAAGAGTGCTAGCTACAACAGTCTGGTAAATCATTTGCAGCATCTTGTTGCATACATTAAAGGACCTGAGCCTTCTCAAAAAATACAGCCGACTCAGGCCCTTCTTGTACACTGCCTCTGTGTTTGTGGACCATTCAAGTTTATTGTCCAGTAGGACACCCAGGTATTTGTACTGCTCCACAATCTCCACGTCACTCCCACTGATACAGACAGGAGAAGCTTGGGGCTTTTGCTTCGTGTAGTCCACCACAATCTCCTTTGTTTTTGCTACGTTGAGTAGCAAACAGTTTTCCTCGCTCCACTGCACAAATTTGTCTATCACCCCCCCTGTACTCCTCTTCTTGACCCCCCTCCACACACCCAACCATGTGGATGTGGATGTGGCATGACTCTGAGCTGTACTTAAAGTCAGATGTGTACTTGGTGAAGAGGAAAGGGGAGAGCACCATTCCCTGGGGGCCCCCGATGTTAGAGGTCAGACGTTCAGACACACAGTTCTGCAGCCTAACAAACTGCGGTCTGCCCATCACCATCAGGTAGTCCCCAGTCCATGAGACCAGAGGAGCCTCCACCTGCATGTTCTCCAATTTGGCCTTTAACAGACTGGGTTGGATTGTATTAAAGGCACTTGAAAAATCAAAGAACATGATCCTCACTGTGGTGTTGGGTCTGTCCAGTGAAGAGTATGCCCTCTGCAGCATGTAAATAATTGCGTCCTCCACACCTACATGGGGCTGATATGCAAATTGCAGGGGGTCAGCTGATGATCGCACCTGTGGCCTGAGGTATACCAGGACCAATCTCTCCATCACCTTCATGATATGCGAGGTCAGCGCAATTGGTCTAAAGTCATTTAAGCCTACAGGATGCACCTTCTTGGGCACTGGTACCAGGCATGATGTTTTCCAGAGGGAGGGGACTCTCTGTAGGTG